CGAACGGAGCCCCTGCGAGGGCTCCCCACCCCGGGTTCAGGGCCGGGCTCCGAGGGTCGAGCCGCGGGGCGTCGCGCCGACTGGATGAGCCGCGGGCAAACCCGGCCGGGATGGGCTCGGGAATCCCCTTTGGCTTGGGTCCCGCGAGCGGTAGACAAGCCATGGTTTATTCGGCTCGGTGACTGCGTGCATGCGACTCTAAGCCAAACACCGGATGATTGCTTAGCGCCTGTTGCCTGAAGAGATCAATAGCTAACGCGAACCATTTTAATAAATGTTTTATGTGTGTGTGTGTGTGTGTGTGTGAATGAATGTGTTTCTGACCATGCACAGATTGCTTTCCTTTCTGAGCAAACCTTCAAGAAGGGGAGGGCGGGTCAAAGCTCGCTTTCTTCTGGAAATTCTCCGGGAATTCAAGAAAAATGACTTTTGAGAAAACGCAAGCAGGGGGACATTTCTTAGGAAGAGAGCCTGGGGGGCGGCGGGGGGCAATCGGGGCTTTTGAACCTGGGCAGAGGATTCCCTCATGCAGTAAACAGCTCGCCCTCTGCTTATGGAAGGAGCAGAGGGACCGACCTCTGATGATGCCATTGGTAGATGTCGGTTCCCCTCCTCCGCTGGCATCAGTTCCTCTGGTCGGCCGCTGGCAGGGCGGGCACGTTCCAGCCACCCAACTCCACACAGCAACCAATACCTGATCAATAACAACCCTTTGGGCCAAGGGGCCCTTGAGTGCAAGGCCAGCCTGGCTCAACCCCACAGGAAGGAAACAACGGTGCTTCTGAGCATGTGCAGAACGCACCTGGGTTCAACTCAGCTTATTTCCTGTTCGGTGTATAGTACGCTGAACCTAGAACATGGGTTGGTTCAGTTACCAGGTTCAGTGCGTTGTGGGAATGCCGCTGCTCTTTCTCAACCGAACCTACCTTGCAGGGTTGTCAGGAAGGGGCAAGCGCAGGCGCTCTTCACTCAGCTTTTCGAAGGCCTGCATTCAGACCAAATCTCGCATCGTGTCCCTCCACATCCTGGTCTTCGTGGCGAATGGTCACAGTAGGCAGCCACCTTTTGCAGACCGTGGTTGAGCTGGAAGGGAGCCAGGCAGGCCCTGATCTGTTTGGCGGTTGGAATGGGAGACCACTGGGAAATCTCAGGGTTGTAGGGAAACCCAAAAAACATCCCGGAATATCCATTTCCAAGAAAATTACATGGATGTATCCAGGAAATCACCAGGACTGAGATATTTGAATTTAAAACTTACCCAGTTCGAAACAAGCTGAAACAGTCACTACCCTTGATTCTCGCTGCGCGGCATACAAATGGCTGCGTTTCCAAACCATGCAAACCCTGGTTAGTTTCTCTGCGGCTGCTTCTGCTGTGCGAACCCAGCCTCTTGAGTTCTATGTACTGAATATTGCTTTAATTCGGTAACCAGGTCAAGGGCAGTGTGCAAACCCAGCCTAAGAATGAATGCCTGCATTTGCTTTTTATTTTTCCTCCTCCCTCCCCATCCCTGTTTTCCTTGTGTGCTGTCTGTCTCAGATGGAAAGCATGAGGTCACGGTTTCTCTGCTTTCATGAATTGCTCTGGCAGCCTTTTTGAAAAACGTTTGTGTGTATACGTGCACAGTGGGATTAAAAGCAATACAAATAAATCGAGCAGAAGCCTTTTTTCTAGTCTTCCTCCCCTCTTTCTCGCTCCCTCCTTTCCTTCTCCTTTCAGATGCCTGCTCTCCAGCTCAGAGGGTATAAATAAAGAATCTCGTAAACTGATCCTGGATTCCAGCCTTCGTCCCGGATGAACGTGCTCTCATGGAAAATCATGCCCCCAAATTTAGCAACCAAGTGACAGAATCTCCCCCAGACACTCCCCCAAAGGTGTGTGTGTGTGTTGGTGTGTGTGTGTGTCTTAAAACCCAAAGAGATGGTATATGAAATTTACTGCACGTGTATTTCCTCTTGCCGTGTTGAATCTGGAAGACGGGGGCATGCCTGTATATAATGCACCTCAATAGGTGCCGTTTTAAAAATCCCATTTGAATTACAGGGCCAAATACTTGGACAAACATTTTCAAATTCAAACATGTTCCCCTTTTCTATGCGAGTGTTTTCATTTCTCCTGCTTTTGAACCCATTTTGATTTGTTGAGCTTTTGCCCAACAGCTTTTCGGCAAATGTTGTCATTTGCAGTCCTTTCGTGCAAATGGGAAATTTCAAACAATAAAACAGAAATAAACATTATCAGCTGGAAAGGCATGATTAGTTACCAACAGGCTAAATGGTAGATTGGTGGAAATCAACAGCCACAATTCCAGGGAAATTATTTATTTATCTTTTCCTAGAGGGGAAGAATTCCGTGGTTTGAAAAAAAAAATTTCAAACTGGCAAGGATAAAGAAACTGTACAAAAAGTGAGGGAAAGGTCTAGGTAATTCCAAAGTGAACAGTGTGAGAGTTAATTGGTTTTTCTTCAATTCTTTCTTCTGGCTTTGAAAACGTGAGCTGGGGAAAAAGTGTTTCTGAGCGCATGCAGAGTACTAATGGTTAGCTGATCTCTGTATATGTGGGAAGATAGGAGGAAGAACTCATTTGCTCCTGCTAGGGCTAAGGGCTGTTCGCATAACTGCCCCAGAAGTAGTTCTGTGGGTATTTGGAACTCACTGCCACATGAAATTTGCCAAACTTCAGAGCATGGGCATTTGCTGGAAATGTGGTTATGACTTTTTTAAAAAATAGAAAATAAATATGACTTTCTGCTTAGCCATAATATTGATCATTGTCAAAACGTTTAGATGGCGAGTGCCAGAATAACCTCCTATTTTCTTTGCGACGATTCTGCAAGCCGGGCTCAGCCAAGAACTTCACAGCCAGAAAGGCTTTATATTAATTTAATCCCAGTCGCTCTCTTCCTTCCTTTGCCAGAACGTGTCTATCACCCAGTGCTGATCAATCAAACCAGGTGAGGACTGAACAGATATCTTTGCACGAGAAGGTAAACTCGAGTAGTGTTATCTTTGGCTAATTGTGCGTGTTGGGGGTTGTGCAACCCCATTCTGCTTTCAGAGGGATCCCCCTCCCCAAGAGCCTTTGATGGGTGAGACCCCGTTAGAAAAAGACCCCAAAACCTCAAAATGTCACATTTCCACCAGAAAAAGGATTCTGCCAGCTGTGCGACACTGACGTCGCACGTTTTCACAACTAAGAATGCTGTGTAGGTCCAAAGCTTCCATTTTCCTCGTGCCCAGAGCAGCTGAGTCAGGGCAACACAATTCCGCCTTATCTGGCACCTCTCCCTCCGTAGCCAGGACGTGGCGCCACTCCCCTGTCGCATGCCAAAAAATGCTTGTGTGCACGCCTGTGCACGCCTGCAGCAGGCGAGGGCACGTTGCTCGCCCTAGTGAAAAAAAGGGGTGGGAAAAAAGGGGTACCAGCTTTGAAGGGCACTTTGGGGATTTTGCATAAGACGCTGCAGGCAGGAAAGAGTGGTTTTTCGAGGCGGGGGGAGCACCCTTCTGCAAACGAGCCTGGAGACGTCTCATCTTGGCTTCAGCCGAAATTGACTCAGCAGGATTGCGTGTCTGCCCCGGGCACGAGCGCACTGCTGCTTTTTTCCCCAGGCTGAGCGAAAAAGGCCTGGGGAAGAAAGCCAGAGAGAGACCCAGCAGGAGCAGGAAATGTGCTGTGTGGCCAGACAGGCGAAGCCCAAATCCTCCCGTGGTCCACCTGGCCAGGCCCACCTGCCCCACCTCGCAAGGGCAAAAAAAAGATGCCTGCCTGCTTGGGGTTGCCTCTTCTCTGGCAGAGTGGCAGCACCCACCAGCCATGGCTGATTCAAAACACAGCACGGACAGAGTATTAGTGATGGACGGAAGGCCACCAGGAGATCTCTGGGTTGGAGGCTGGACTGGGAAATCAGGAAAAAAAATTCCAGAAAATATTTTTTTAGCTTTTTTGCCTTCTTCCTGGTCAAGATGCAAAATAATCATTCCCGCAAGGCTTTTCCTAATAACATGCACTGGATTCTCCACTTTTAACAAAGAAGTTTACCAAACTCAACCTCTGCTTTTTTTCCCCTCCTTCCCAGCTAAGATTACCATTCCTTTCACAAATGGAGCCTCTGAATCCATTCTGAGCCCCAAAAGCCACAGTGGAGCTTTGAGTTTGTGAAAAGTTTCCTTTGTTCTTCGCTGGCTCTAACCCATCCTCCAGTAATCCAGACTTAACTATCCTTGGTTTTGGAAAGGAAACTTGGTGGCTTTTCAAATTCCATTTTTTCCTCTTTGCCTGCCATTTTCCTCCTGTGGATCTAATAGTTTGACCTATCAGCCATGCCCCCAAACTCTGAGCGTCAGAAACGTCCTGCGTGTCCACCCAACCACCTTCCCTCTCTCTCTCTCTCACTCCTGGAAGCCTCACATGAGCAAAAAAGTAAACTGCTTACACAGAACGCTGCAACTGTTTATTCCAACCCAACCAAGAATCCTGTGTGACTCCGGCGGATGTTAGTCTGCCAAACCTCACCTCTTTGCCTTGTGAAAACAGCTTTTCCGCCCTGGCTTGGCAGCTTCTCCACTACAAGGTCAGAGCCCGCCAACATTATCCACCAATCTGATGGCAACCGAAGCGGTCGCTGGCTGCTTGCCCGTGCCAAGAATTGGCGGAAGCAGAATGCCTGGGGATGCCCCATGGTCGATGCTCTTTGCAATGCAAACGGATTCCAAGCATCTCACAACAGGAAGCCAGGAACAATGGCTCCTGGCCTTTAGCAAGGAGGCGGTGTGTGTGCTCAAGGGGCAGAAAAACATGAACCAGGGCAAGGAAGGTGGGAAACTGCGACTGCTTAAAGCTCAGCTTCTTTCAATTGCTGGTCTTGCAGCTGAAATGGATAATCTAACAGCACCTCTGAGCATGTGCAGAGTAGATTTCCAGGTCACAACTTGCCTTTCCCACTCCTGAAAAGCAGGGGATAGAATAGGATTATAGAGTTTTGTAAAATGAGCTGTGGACTCCAGCCCTTCTGGGAACATGTTAGTGTGGCTATGATGGTTTAAGGGCAAGCAATCTTCCAACCTGGCTACTTTGACACTGCTTCCCTCCATCTGCTGCCCTCCCAGCTCTGCTGGACTCCTAAAACCATACCAAGAATGATAGAGATGGCAATCAACACAACTGGACAGGGAACAGCTACTACCACAAATTGCTCGAGGGACTCCCCTTGGAGACAATCATTTCAATTGATGCAGAACTGGGCTGGTGGAATCCTGGCTGGTTTAGCAAACTGGAGTCAGAAATACTCCTTGGTTGACTGTTATTGTTCCAAGCCCAGGGCCAAAGGTCAGGCTTATTTTTAAAGCAGGGGTGCACATAGGAATGGAACACTCTCCAAAACATGAACCTGGTCAAGACCAAACCAAAATGTGGATGAATTTAAAATTTAAAATTTATTCAAATGACAGAAAAGGGGCCTTGAGGTCATTCTAGTCCAGTATTTCTCTATCTCAACAACTTGAAGATGTGTGGACTTCAACTCCCAGAATTCCCTAGCCAGCATGCTGGCTGGGGAATTCTGGGAGTTGAAATCCACATACCTAAAAGTTACCAAAGTTGAGAAACACTGGTCTAAGTTTTTGTTCTTTATATGCTTGCTAGAAAGGCAAGTACAAATGCAAAAATAAATAGCATCTCAGATCAGAAAATGACCAGGCTGTTGTATGTTTATGCTTATCAAGAGATGAGGAACAATGGAGGTGGGACTTCTGGGGAAGAAATGGCGAACTGAAGATGGCTTTGCTAAAAGCAGAGCCGATGATCACGGCGGAATGAAGAGTCGGGGAGTAGACCGGCTCTTTGTAAGTCCTCTCTGGACAAGGAGAGGGCTTGAGATTGCCCACAAGTGCTCCAGACAGTTGCTCCTCACGAGGAGACTGCAAGACAGTCATCTCCAGTGGCTTTATTCCTCTGGGAGACGAGGGCATAGCCATCTTTTTTCTCAAAGTGTGGTTGGTGCCTTCAAAAGGACGCTGGGTTCGCATCCTTCCTTTTCAAATCATTTTTGGAAATTGCTTGTTAACTGCTTTTCAGCTATCAGGAACCTTTGGATCGACAAGTCTGAAAATACTGGCTGAGTTTCCTTCAATCCTTAACGAAAGAAGTTTTAAACACAAATGTAAGGACTTAAAAGAAAAAAAAAATTGGGAATAACCAACGAAAGAGTGACTAGAACATTTTGGAAAGTTACAAACAGACTAAGGGTCCAGATGGATTTGAAATAAGATTTTCAAATTAATTATAAGAATCCTTCCCATGGGAAAACGCTGCTGTTTTGAATTCTTAAAAAAAAGGACAAAAAACAGGATAGAATGGGACTTTGAAGGTTGGACACTAGAGGGAACCAGGAGGAACTAAAGATTACAATTACAGGAGAAGAACACTTAAATTTGGCTTACAGGATGGAGCAAAATACTTTAACATTGGATGTACTGAAGGATATTTGTAAACAGTAGACCCAGAAGTTAATTTTAAGAGCGTCTGCCTCTATAGATAGTCTATATTACGGAAGAGGAACAAGTTTTACCGGACAAGACTGAAACCATACTGAAAGTGGATTTTAAAATTACAGGCTACGAGAATTATATGGAAAAAGATGCCACACCGGACATACAAATGAAACTGGGTGATGTCTTAATAATTAAAAGGGGTATACACATAACAAAACCAAAAGAGTGACCGGGATAACTTTCCTGTATTGGGTTTACCTTGATTTTCTGCCTCCCAAATAAAAGTGCATTAAAAAGACAGATTGCAGTAAAAGGCTTAGAAACACACCAAAACAGAAAAGACGGAATGAGCCCCGCAATCTGTTTCATTTGCAAGAATTGAGAGCTGTCTGTCTGGAATTAGATCTGGGCAGAAATGAAATTGCAAAAGAGTGCATCCCCCCCCCCCCCACCTTGAGAACTCCCGTGTTCTCTTTGGAAGAAATTTGTAATGGGATTTCACTTTCATTGAATCCAATGAAACTGGAGAGGGGAAAAATTGCGGGGTGGCTGACCCAGCGGGGGCAACGCTTGTAAAGGGCTCGTCCAGCAGGGGGCAGCAGAGTCCCGCGGAATTAACTGAAAGCCGTTTCTGCTTTCGGAGCTGGGGCATTTTCAGCTCTCCGCTCCGCTCCTGGGCTTTTTCCTATCCGGTTCCCCCTGAGAAATCCACAGGATTCATCCTCCTGCCTTTCCGGAGAGAAGGCGCGTTTCAA